GTACAGATGTTTGACAGAACTTGTCGCATAAAATATCTAATTATTTTTATATTTCTCTTACTGCTACCTTTACTTACTACTGCTCTGCTACTGTTCTGTTACAGTACTGGTTGAAAATCTGGACGCAGCTGTTTTTAATGCGTTTGTTTGAGGTTATTCGGCCATGAGGTCAGAGGTTGAAAGTTTAGGTCCAGAAAGTAAAAATCCAGACCCAGATTTTGTTTCAACCAACTAACTGAGTACTCTGTGAATGTAAGTCTATACACTCAACTGGCTGGTTGAAACAAAATCTTGGTGTGGATTTGTGCTTTCTGAACCTAAGCTTTTCACCTGTGCTTGAGGCAATGAAGTTTATTCATAACAAATATTGCAGTGACCCAGAGAAGTATTCAACATTAAGTTTTCTCAAATTTTAGACTCTTCAGAATAACCTTCAGGTGCGCTTAGGGTCATTATCTTGTTTAAAAAATAAATGATTTCCAGTAGGTGTGTCCAGACATTTGTCTGGTACTACTGTGTGCTCCTCTTGACTATAGTGCGTTTCTAGAGCATTCCTTGTACCTGTAGTCCTTGTGCCTAAAATGCATTGCTAGTGTATTTCTCGTGCCTTCAGTGCATTTCTATTGCGTTCTTTGTGCCTGTAGTGCATCCTTAGTGTGTTCCTAGTGCCTGTAGTGCATTCTTAGTGCCTGTAGTGTGTTCCTAGTGCCTGTAGTGCTTTCCTAGTGCCTGTAGTGCTTTCCTAGTGCCTGTAGTGCATTCCTCGTGCCTGTAGTGCATCCTTAACGTGTTCCTAGTGTCTGTAGTGCATTCCTCATGCCTCCGTACAATCTGCAATGTAAAAGTTAAATTTTAGCCTATTATTGCTACTTCTGCTGTGTGTGTCATTCAGTCTCGCCAGAGTGAACAATGCTCACGTTCACATTCATCCATCGCAAACTGATTTGTTCAGTTCACCGCTGACCAAAAATATGGGCACGTTCAATGAATGGCGCTCATTTAGTGTGTTCAGGCATAACATTGACGGCTCTGTGCTTGGCTACGGTTACAGGTGGCTGAAGCATAGACTCTCCCAGCGCCTTTTCTGATGATGTCATCATCCGCCGTATCCGCTGATAAATGAGCTGGGGGCACGCATTACCTTTCTCTGAACCTCAGCGCAGCTCTCAGAGAGTGAATGATCTCGTTTTGATATTGAATGACTCCCACAACCACTAGTCTTTATTTAGTTCAAACCACAACTGCTTTTTTCAGCCCCTGGTTGTGTTTTTTGAGCCCGGGTCTTCGTCTTTAGGCAGAACTCCTACTGGTAGAGTCTCCCTCACAGAGGACGAGTCTCGTCTAGACTCTGATATTACAGGTAAAGCACACGCTGTCATGGGATTTCACCTCAGGGAAACTGCGTCATGGTTTTAACATCCTGACTCTTTAGATGACGTGGGGCGCTCTGTGTTTCTCACACTGCACTCAGTTTTTAATCTTTCTGAAGTATTTTCTCTTAATCTTAGAGTCATAGCAAGAGAGGCAAATGACACTTATGCCACTTATTTGCTTATGTGTGTCTGTGTGTGTCTGTGTGTGTGAGGGTGGAACCAGTTTTACCAGTCAAGGCGTATCCCAGTGCCTGTTACACAGCTCTGTAACTTGCCTTTGCCACGACGGAGTCCAGCTACAGGAGCGATGAATCAAAGATCGCTATTGTCTTTCTGTCTTGCCCCAGCTCTACCCCCAAGAATGTATGACACAGCTACAGGAACCATAATTTTGCCACTTTACCTTCCGCTCCACTCAGCAGAGGATCAGATAAAGGGTTAAATCTGGGACTAGTTTAATCTGCTGTTATGGGGAAACAGGGAAGAGCCATGCGTCTTGGCACTCTGAGTCAGGTGACCATTATTCAGGTGGTTTTTGTTTAATTTACCCTCTCTTTCTACAAGACAACATAATTACCACGTGGCGTAGGACTTTGTCATGGAGCGTAATCACTGGGCATGCTTTGCCTAGAGGGTTTAAATCCGCTGGCTTTGCACATCTGCGTTTAGGGGTGGACACTCGTGCTGGTATCTGCTGATTCCAAACAACTTTCCTGGAGCCCTGACTGCCACTCCCAACACAGTCTATGTGTCCCCTTTGGTTTCAGTGTTTAGCAGACATCTACCAAAATATGAAGGTGTTGATTTTTCTTGTGTTGATAAAATTTGCTAAGCACTAATACTGCACTGTCCATTTTTAGGCATTTTCCTTCCTAGCTTTGTACTCAGGTACACTCCTCTTCATCGTGCATTTTTCACTTTGTTCTACAGCCTGTTTTAAGCTTGCGTTCTTCGTCTGATTATTTTTAAATGGCTGTATTTCTGTTTTCATTGTTTTCACTTCAAATCAGATAAGAGTCCCCTGTCCCACAAAAGTTTGGTTTCTTATTCATCGTTTGTCACCTTGCTGCTGACCTTAAACCATCTCTATGCACATAGACCTGACTGGGACGTCTGCCTGCCAATGACCGGCACACACATCGTCTCGCCTCTGAGCAAAGCAAGCATGTTTTTTTTTCTTCGAAATAGGGGGAAAATTGCTTAAGACAAAACCCGCCCTGCTCTGCGTTGGTTATGGATGCCAAATGAAATTCCTTCAGTTATGTTTGTGCTTGTCTTTCTCTACGTCTTGCTCAAGTGGCTCCTTGTCTGCTTATGATGAGAATGTGTGCAACTGAGACTGAAGATACATTCCAACAGATAAATGGCAGTCATCTAGGGGTCATGATTAGAGGTTATGGCTATTGGTAGATGAGGTATTGGTAGCTGGATCAATTTGCGTAAATGGCGATTTGTGTGTGAAAGGAAAGCATGCTTTTTCATTCTTTATATGAATGTCCGGAGGTTGTTCGAATGACACTGTTCACCCTAGAGAGGCATTCCTCTGCCCCAAAACATGTTTGTGGGGTAATGAACGGCTTTGACATCCAGTCAAGTGTTTGTTGGGTTAATAGCTATGTGGGGAGTCTCCGGGCAGTGGCCGGGGTGGGGGAGGGGGTCGTCACGGATCGCGCAACATAACTGACATATTTCGCTGCAGGCGTTTTCCTGCAAAACAGGTTTTGAATGTTCTAGAAGATGATACTACAGTCATGTGATACTCAAGTACAATATACTGTGGATTTAATCTAATGATGCAACAGTCCAGGCAGAACGGAGATGAGGGCATGAAATATGCAACAATTCTTGGATGGTGGATTCAGATAGCGTTGGGTTTTTTTTAGTTGATTGTATGCAAACCATTTTGACACTGGACTCCCAGATTTTAAACCCTTTTCCAGTCCATCTTTGAACTTCTTATGGGCCACAAGTAAGGGGGTACATCCTGTATGGGAAGCCAGTCCATTAGGGGGCAGATACACCATACGGGCAATTTACAGACGGCGAATAGGAAACCCACAGAACAGGAGGAACCTGCAAGCTCCACATACAAAATTTCTGCTCTAATGCTGCTCAGCAGATAAATCAGTCATTTTAATCTGTTGATTTATTCAATGTATTAGCAGTTAGCAGGACCATTGATTTTAGGATAAGCCGTCTTTTGAGGCAGTGAATAAATCATCATCAACAGCTGACTAATCTGTAGCCTACAGTAGGATCTGGCTTCCCTGCATGACATGGGTGTGTGTCTGGATGTCTTTTGTTCTCCTGATTTTATGACGGTTCTCTGCAATGATGACATTGAAGAAAAAGGCATTTCTCGTGACTAAATCTGCTTAAAATACAAATACATAAATAAGGTGCCAGCACTTTTCGTTCATCGTGAGGATTTGCGTTTATACGTGTGGGTTCTCATGCATGCGTGGGGGGTGGGGTGTTTTGGCCTGCCCCCAGCAAAGGATATGCCCTGGTTGTGAGTTTAATTGCCAATACCCCCCCCCAGAGCAGGGTCCCCTGGGGGCCTTGGGCTGCATCTTTCCTGGCTGCCTCTTGGCGTGAATTACAAGTTGTGGGGGTGGGCAACTGGAGTAACCTTCGCCTTGGATAACTTCATGGTACCCCTGGCCTCTTCCACTCCTCTCAGCCCCGTCACTGTGTGACTGGGAGAAGCCGCTCCGTCGTCAAGCGCTCCATAAATCTTCAAGTGGCTATTTAATCCTCCCCGTGGAACCATAAGTCAGGCAAGGATTAGCGCCCCTTTGAGGGGGAGAATGCGGGCGGCTGTTAACACAAGCTTTGCTAACACCGGTTGTCCTACTGGGGGCGCCGTGTAGCTTCCTGATGTGCGTGTGACCCTGACATGAGTGTCATGATCACATCCACATGGAATGCAGTTCAACCCTACCGATAATTCCCTGGTAATATCCTGAAATGTGTCCTGACCGCGGTTCGGAAATCTGACAGGTTTCTGCATTCGGTGAATGGGTGTGGGGTGGGGTGGGGTGGGGGGGGGGGGGGGGGGGGGGGGGGGGGGGGGGGGGGGGGGGGGGGGGGGGGGGGTGTGTGGTGATAAACCCAGAAGCTTTATAGGACTCAGAGAAGAACAGAAACCCACCTGCCATGGTGGCACATCAGGGAACAGGGCACTGTGGTGGAAATGTAATCACTTGGTGGTGTGCGTTTTGATTGCGACAGTGATTGCACACGTCGTCAGTCGTCGTGAGTGTGTCACCAACAACCTGCTCCTTTGACTAATGCAGCACTAAGATGTTGCTGTAGTTATGATCATAAGCCTTTGTAAAGTTCAATTGCATTTGTAATGTTCACGTGTGTTTAATGTTCATGCACATTTAATGTTCACAAACGTTTGTAATGTTAACGCACGTTCATGTGTGTTTAATGTTCATGGACGTTTATAGTGTTTATGGGTATTTTTAATGTTCACCCACATTTGGAATTTTCATGTGCATTTGTAACGTTCACAAGCGTTTGTAATGTTCTTGCGTGTTGGTAACGTTCATGCACGTTCATAAACGGTGCACACAGTGTACAGCTACCAGCTGACCCGCTCATCTTCCTCACACCCAGATGAGCGTGAGGCCGTTCAAAAGAAGACTTTCACCAAGTGGGTCAACTCCCACCTGTCCCGTGTCACGTGCCGCATCGGCGACCTCTACACCGACCTCCGTGATGGCCGCATGCTCATCCGCCTGCTGGAGGTGCTGTCCAATGAGCAGCTGGTCAGTATCTCCCTCTCTATGCATCTCTCTGACTTGTATCTGATGCTTAATGTTTGTGGCTTCTTATCTGATGCTCAGTGTTTCTCCATTTGTTCCATTTGTTTGTTCTATTTGTTCTTACTCTCACTTTCTCCTATCTTTTTCAATGTCATGTGATCAGTGTCTACATATTTTTGAGCATGAGTGATAGAACAGGCATCACTTTTGCTGTTTGATCATTGTCTTTTGACCCAAGAATAAGGGAAACGTGCCTCGTTTGTGTCTTTGTGCGCCATTTGTGTCTTTTTGGCCCTAGATCTGCAGACTGTGTGATGATTTTCAAAAAAATTAGTGTGTAAACTGAGTGCCGAAACCATCTGAGGTCTCAAGTCACCCTCTTTCCGCTTCCCTGTGGTCCTCAGCCCCGGCCCACGAAGGGCCGCATGCGCATCCACTGCCTGGAGAACGTGGACAAGGCGCTGCAGTTCCTCAAGGAGCAGAAGGTCCACCTGGAGAACATGGGCTCCCACGACATCGTAGACGGCAACCACCGGCTCACCCTGGGCCTGATCTGGACCATCATTCTCCGCTTTCAGGTAGCTGGCCGTTTTCATTATCAGCAAGTAAACAAATCCTACTTTCTGCTTATTTAAATTCTCAAAAGAATGGGAGCTACATTTATTTAGCTTATCTGGCATTTTTATCCGTAGCAATTTGTAGTTCATAGACATTTCTGCAGGTGGGTGTCTGAAGAGAGCAATCAGACTTACTTTTCTCAAACCAGCAAACACACCCAGCCACCAGCTGACCCAAAGACAACTTTTTCAAGGCATGTAATATGTTTATATTGCCCATCTGGCACTTTTTAATAGGGATTTTAAAGCTCCAAATAATTGTTTTCAGATCCAGGACATTAGTGTGGAGACGGAGGACAATAAGGAGAAGAAATCAGCCAAAGATGCTCTTCTGCTGTGGTGTCAGATGAAAACTGCAGGGTACGAAAGTGGAGATCTTTTTTCCATCTATCCAGCATCAGTAATCACTTCTAGTAGAGGGTCATGTGATCCTGGAACCTATCCCAGAATTCACAGGGCACAAGGATGGGGACACTCAGAATGGGATGCCAGTCCATCACAGGACACACATACTCACACGCAGTCACACACTGAAATGCAGAGATGCCAGTTTTCCTATCTGCATGTTTCTGGACTGCGGGAGGAAGCCCGCATGCCACGGGGAACAAGCATGCAAGCTCTTTGTACTGTACTATTGTTTTTTCCAGTTTGCGTTTTAATGTGCATAACATAGCAATTCATTTTGAAATGGCAAAGTGCACTTGAAAGATGAATCGTGCAGCATCCTGGACTGGCTCGACTAGATGATGATGATATCGCTGTCTTAACTTTTCATTACATATTTGTGAATCTTCTCGTTCAAATGATTCACTTTTATTTTCAAGAGCAAAACTCATCTTTTCAAACTAAATGTATTGTGGCTAAGCATAGTCCTGGTCCCTAGTCCTGTGATATTCGACTATTTTTATGTTTTTAACTTTTTTTTTTTTAAAGTTCTAGGGTTTTATTCACAACGAGATCCCCTTTGCTTGCAGGTACCCCAATGTCAACATCCATAACTTCACCACCAGCTGGAGAGATGGCCTGGCTTTCAACGCTATTGTGCACAAACACAGGTGATCCAGCCTCCCCCTCCTTACTTTACGGAGCTTAAATTCCTTCTTATGCTTATAGTTACAGGAATACAGGTTTACAGTTTCATATTTCTCCCACTGTTGCCAGAAAGGGCCTTTTTGCCAGGTTCAGGTTTGGCCACCAGCATTCTGAGATGATGTAACAGAAATTGATCTGTGTGTGGTGTAGATGAGCGTTCGCGAGTGCCTTACCTCATCCAGGTGCCAGCTGGTGTAGCTGTGATCACTTGGCCTCTGAGTCTGCCCCCATGCGTAACACCGGTCTGGCTGCCGTATGACCTGTGCGGGGAGAGACCTAAAAAATTAAAGACAGAAGACATAATGTGAGGAAAGAAGTATTGGCCAGACTCCCCCTGCTGGTGACTGATATGATTGCAGTTTTGTTTTTCGGAATCCGAACCGGAAGGCAATTATCCCAAAGTAAATTGTTTGTTAGGCTGCACATTACACGACCACACAAGAAGACAAAAATAGACAGTACACAGAACCACATACAACAATCTCTGTATGAGAATAAATAAGTATGACATCAAGAGGTGATAAATAAATAGGTGGGTGATTATGGTGAGAAGTATAGTAAATACTGCGCTTGAAAGGTATGTGTGCAGGGTCACGTGGTTGAAATCCCCTTGATATCAAAATAAAGGCGTCGGGTTGTCTTATCTGGAGGTTTGCGACAGTTACCTGAATGACATCACACGCCATCACCGCTTTTTTGAGTTCTTGATTCCCCTTCGGCAAGCACAGCACAATCCATGTATCTCATGCCTGGTTTAGCATACAGTGCGCTTTAAAATGTGCCGTTTTTGATCAGATTTTCCTATGCAGAATTAATTAAGGTATTCATCAATGCATTTAATGTAGTCTGTAAGTTCCTGTTTGTGGGAAAGCGAGACAGGAGTGTGGCCAGGAGATACAAGAGTTCCTGGTCAAGACGACCTAGGATGTAGGTTCCTGAACTTTGGTGGGAAAGTGCCTTCTGGGCATTTTGTGAAGTGCTTGCTAAAAGAAATTATGCTCCTTTTTAAAAATCCAACATAAATACAGTTGAATAGAATTGAACTAGGTGTCTGAGATTGGAGGAGCTGTAGAACACAGAGGCTTGCATTAAAGACTGTGCTTGTTCGCCCCCCAGGCCTGACCTGATAGAGTTCGACACACTGAAGAAGTCGAATGCACACCACAACCTGCAGAATGCGTTCAACATGGCGGACAAGGAGTTGGGCTTGACTAAACTGCTGGATCCCGAGGGTCAGTCCGGCTTCCTACCTCTGACCCAAACACACACACACACACACACACTATGCATATTCATATCTTTATGGGGACTCTCCATTCATTTCTACGGACATAACCTATAGTTTGCAAAAGCACAAGACAGGAGCATGTGTTAAGTTAAAGTCCTCCTTCGTGCACAGATGTCAACGTGGACCAGCCAGATGAGAAGTCCATCATCACTTATGTGGCCACCTACTACCACTACTTCTCCAAGATGAAGGCCTTGGCGGTGGAGGGCAAAAGGATCGGCAAGGTGAGCCTTTTCAATCTCTGCTCTTGGGGGGCATTGAAAGCCTTAGAGTTCAAGTCAATCACATTATTAACTGCATTGAACTAACAGCCTTCTTTATTCCGCCTGTGTTCCATTTATATGTGTATATGTGAATATGGGTTTTTGAGGGTCAGTACATTGGTCAATGTGCCTCGCAGGTGCTGGACTACGCCATCGAGGCCGACCAGCTGGTGGAGAAATACGAGACTCTGGCATCAGAGCTGCTGCAGTGGATCGAGCAGACCATCCACACCTTGAATGACCGGAAACTGGCCAACTCTCTGACCGGTGTGCAGAACCAGCTGCAAGCCTTCAACACCTACCGCACTGTGGAGAAGCCTCCCAAGTAAGTGCAGCTGCAAAAAAAAAAAGCACATTAACCCACATTTGCTGAAAAAAATATGTATGGGGGGATGTGGAGTTTTTGATCATTTCACTCATTAAGTGTCCGGATCTCAGCTGAGATCTGCAGAAGATCTGCATAAGATCTTTATGATGGACCTGTGTGGCAGGTTCACAGAGAAGGGAAACCTGGAGGTCCTGCTTTTCACCATCCAGAGCAAGATGAGAGCCAACAACCAAAAGGTCTACATGCCAAAGGAGGGCAAACTCATCTCCGACATCAACAAGGTATCAGCAGTTATCATGACCTACAGTGTGGCTGGGATGATAGAGAGCACACACACAGCTGTGCTCTGATTGGCCTGGAGGTAACCAAGGTACTGAGACCATGTTCATTATTGGCTGCCAGGCATGGGAGCGGCTGGAGAAGGCGGAGCATGAGCGGGAGCTGGCGCTTCGCAATGAGCTGATTCGCCAGGAGAAGCTGGAGATGCTGGCGGCCCGCTTTGATCGCAAGGCGGCCTTGAGGGAGACCTGGCTGAGTGAGAACCAGCGCCTGGTGTCCCAGGTAAATGCCATTAGCAAAACCTGGTCTTTATAGTCCACAAGGTCATTCCTTATAGTAACTGGAAGGACAAAGCAAATGTAAGGTTATGGGCAGGGTAGCGGGAGGAATAACATAATAGGATTAGTGTTAGGCTTAGGCATAAGAGGGTTATGGTTGGGTTTAGAGTTGGTAGATTTAGGGTTGGTAACTGCGGGGTTAGGTTAAGGGTTGGTAACTGCAAGGTTTGAGTTAGGCTTAGGATTGATAACTAGGGTTTGGGTTAGGTTAAGGGTTGGTAACTGCAGGGTTGGGCTTAGGGTTGGTAACTGCAGGGGTTGGGTTTAGGGTTGGTAACTGAGGGATTAAGGTTCGGTTTTTGCAGGGGCTTTGTTACGCCTATTTTAGGAGGGCTTTAACAACCCTAAAATGATTTTTAGCCCAACTAAATAATATGTGTATTTAATGGCTTAAGTCATGAAGAGTCTGCCATCTCCCCCCTTATAAAGACTCAGCCTCCATTCATCTCTAACTATGCCCCTGGGTTTTGGGTAGATAAATCAAAGCTTGGTTTGAGGCTTGGGGTAGGTAACTGGAGGGTTGGGATTAGTAATTGGAAGGTTGGGGTTAGGTTTAGTGGTAGGATTGGAAACTGGAGGATAATGCACATCTCTGTGGATAATAATCAGTTGGTATATTTAACATTCATTAAGTAAGACGATATAGAGATACAGATACGATGTAAAGATACACTAGATGCAGTGAAATTAGCTAGTGGTATTTTCTTAACTGTCTGAAGCCTCATTAAAACTTCAATCCTTTGTCATGTTTACTCCTTTCTGCCAGGATAACTTTGGCGTGGACCTAGGCGCGGTGGAGGCAGCCACGAGGAAACACGAGGCCATCGAGACAGACATCATGGCGTACGGCGAGCGTGTGGCCGCCGTGGAGGCAGTGGCGCGTGAGCTGGAGACTGAACGGTACCACGACGTGCGGCGCGTGCTGGCCCGGCGTGACAACGTACTGCGGCTCTGGGAGTATCTGCGTGAGCTGCTGGCTGCACGCCGTGAGAGGCTGCTGGGCCACCGTGACCTACAGAGGCTGCTACAGGAGATGAGCTACGTCATGGACTGGATGGCCGACATGAAGGTAACACAGAACCGCCACGAGTGGGATCAGGAAGTAGGCGGGAACAAACAGGAAGTGCCTGCGCTAGTCTTTAAGCAAATCTTCTGAAACTCTATCATTTCCTTTACTTTGACTGCAAGAGAAATCTACACCAGACTAAAATCTTTTTGTGTTTTGTAGTAGATAAAATGGGGATTTTGATACACCTCCTGACCTGTACATCCCAGCTCAAATTTGGTTTCTTACAATTCCCCCCAAAAGAGTGAATTATAAAAAACTGCAATGGTAATATCTGAATATAAGAATGCCTCGAGAATGCCCTGTGTCAGTTTAGAAATATGTTGAGTTCTATTATAGTTTCTTTTGAGATCAGAAAGATACTGGTGAATCTGGGTTCCCTTCCTACAGTACAAAGCACAAGAAGAATCCCATCAGTGGTTGTTTATTTTCAGTTTTGCGGCCGACTACAAATGTGCTGTCGAGGAGTTGACAAGGCATAAGTGTAGCTAGGCTGAGCTTCCAATGAATGCACAATTACAAGTGTAAGTAGTATAGGAGCAAGAGCTACGCAACATCTTCCAAACAAAGCAAGTACCTAATAATACTACTATTCAGTGACCAAAGGTGCAGTATTGGGAACATTCAGGAATCCTAAAGTGTAGTAGAGGAATTCCTTGAACAGATGGGACTTGAAGCGTTTCTTGAAGGTGGAGAGGGAGTCTGATGACCAGTTCAAGGTGCATGTAGTAGGAAATTGTTTGGTAATCGAGAAATGGCAAAGCTGAATCACCTTAAAGCCTCAAAACATAATCCAGCTGTATTCATCATTGTGAATTGAGTTACCCCAAGATTAAACAGTTTTTCCACACCCTTTGAAGCAGCGTTTCTCAGCCTAGTCCTGGGGGACCCCCAGACAGTCCACATTTTTGCCCCCTTTCAGCTCCTAGCCATTCAAGGACACCACATTTTTGCCACAGGGAGCAGGGAGGGAGCAAAAATATGGACTGTTAGGGGGTTCTCGAGGATTGGCATGTTGAGTAAACAATGCTTTAGAGTATTTCAGGAAGACACTGGGAGTGTATCCTTAACAGTGCCTTCCTTGCCCATCTCCAGGGGCGCCTGCAGTCCCAGGACACCGGGAAGCACCTGTATGACGTGGAGGACCTGCTGCAGACCCACACGCTGGTGGAGGCAGATATCTCGGCCCAGGCGGACAGGGTGCGGGCCGTGCAGGCCGCGGCCCAGCGCTTCACCAGCAGCGAGCCCAGTGAGCGCCGGCCGACATCCTGTGGTCACACACCCTCCCTGCACGCTCATCCAGCTGCCCAGTCAGTGTCACCCTCTGTGGGGGTACTGACCTGCAGCGTAGATAAAATGCAGGTCAATGTACGGCAGGCTACAGGGACGGGAATGGGAGGCTTTATAAAGCAACAGGCAAACAGGGGACAAGGTCCTTTAGGAAGAGCAAAAGAAAACACAATAAGTATCTCAAACGCTGAATGAAAACTGTCAACATACAAGAAGAAGGTCAAAATATGGAGAAGCCTTGCTGACCTTGTGCCAGCTCTTTGTCACTGAATGGGTTAAACCTAGAGATCACTCAGTCGCACTGGGGACGATATCAGTGCCTTTGCCCTTTACCATCATCAGTCCAACTATTTATCCTGGTCAATGACATGGAAAGTCACTCTACATGCCAATATTAGTGCCACTGATCCAAAAATCTTAGACTGTGTCATGAAATGTGCGTGACACAGCGAGAGCAGGGGCAGGATGTGAACCCCCAATACTGGAGGTGTGAGGCAACAACAGCTGCCCACTGAGGCACCGTGCCTCCCTACTCTGCCTCCCTACTCTGCCTCCCACCAAAGCACAATGTACTTTAGTCCAAAATGCACACACTGAAGTCACAGAATTCAGAGTAATATTGAGATTTGACAGCATCAGTGATAAATGAAGGGTACAGCTTGATAAACAGCAGGGATACATTAAATGTGTGATGTAACGCAGTAGTACTGAGGATGGCATGCATGCTTGTTCTATTTGTATGTGAACATGTGTGTAAATGGTTCCGCAGCCTACAAGCCATGCGAGCCGGCGCTGGTCAGCGAGAAGGTGTCCCAGCTGGGCCAGGCCTACGAGCAGCTGGTCCAGCTGGCGGCAGAGCGGCGGAGCCGCCTGGAGGATTCACGTCGCCTCTGGCAGGTGCTGTGGGAGCTGGGCGAGGAGGCGGCCTGGATGCGCGAGCAGGAGCAGATCCTGGCGGGCGCCGACTGCGGCCGCGACCTCACCTCCGCCCGGCACCTGCTCAGCAAGCACGAGGCCTTCCGCGACGAGATGGCCGCCCGCTACGGGCCACTCAGCAACAGCATCGCCGCCGGGGAGGCCCTGGTGCAGGTAGTTATGGAAACCCATTCAGAGAAGGGAATTTTCGCCATGACTGTGACTAGCCATGAGCATCTAGTACTGCATAGAGTAACAAATAAATGGTGATGCAGGAGGGACACTTTGAAGCCCCGAAGGTTGTGGAGAGGATAAAGGACATTCGAGAACAATGGGCCCACTTGGAGCAGGTAGGAATGGAATATACCTAGTGATTGAACATGGTAAATTTTTACCAGAATCCACAATATTTTGTGATAGATGAGACCTCCAATTCTTTTATTGCACTTATCTTCTCAGGGTTTTTCCTAGCCTTTAATAACTTTTATGCATCTTAATTGGATGGTTCATATCTCTTCTTCCCTCCAGGCATCCCAGCTGCGGCACAGGCTCCTCCAGGAGGCCGTGGCCCTGCACCAGTTCCAGACAGACGCCAATGACATGGAGGCCTGGATCCTGGAGACGCTGCGGCGTGTGTCCAGCACGGAGGTGGGCCACGACGAGTTCTCCACGCAGACGCTAGCGCGCAAGCAGCGCGAGGTGGAGGAGGAGATCCAGAGCCACCGCACACTCATCGACTCGCTGCACGAGCAGGCGGCAGCCCTGCCCCCCGCCCATGCCAACTCACCGCAGGTTAGCACCGCCGCAAGCCAACATGTTAGCATGCCAGGGACTGTGAATAAGCCAAGTGCGACCAAGGGGCAAGCTAAGTGCTAAGCTAAGAGCTAACAGGCTAAGCAGCCATAGCTGAGAGCTTTTTCAGTACCAACTGAAAACCACAACCAACAGTAAACCTGTTATGTTAATAATTTGTTCCCACAAAGACCTGATGTTCGTCATTTGAGCACGTGACGTTTTGTGCAACCACTCTTTATTTAGCGACTTACCTCAGCGGTCATTTGCAAATATGAGGTTAATAAAAAAAATCATTTTCCAACCAATGGGTGCATTTACCAGATTTTGTACACCTGATAATGCACACGGGAGTGAGGGAGATTGAGTATGGAAGGCTGAAGTATGACTTGGGTGCCGTAATATTCACTTAATGACCATTTCTCTTAACGATACGATCGTTGGAACGGAACTCAGTCGCTAAACAAGGAGTGGTTACGTGTCGTTCTCCTGGCTTCTCTCCTGTTCGGCCAAATTTGAAGAGAGAATATTCATAGATTGTTCTCCTACCGCCCATCCCCACCCCCCCAGGTGGAGGGCCGGCTGCCAGCCATCGAGCAGCGCTACGAGGAGCTGGAGGCCCTGTCGGCCGCGAGACGCAAGGCCCTGGAGGGTGAGCTGGCCCTGTACCGTATGTTCAATGAGGCGGGCGCCTGCCAACTCTGGATCGGGGAGAAAGAGCAGTGGCTGGACAGTATGGAGATTCCCAGCAAGCTGGAGGACTTGGAGGTGGTGCAGCAGAGGTGAGAGAGAGGCAAAGAGAATGATTCACTGGATGTTATTGCCATTCCAGGCAGCATAGGACGGATTCTGATTCCAGAGCCAAGCCGATTAGCATCACCACTCAAATTCAGCAGTAACTTGATTGCCTTCATGTTTTACTTTTATTGAGATGCTTAGTAACTGCATTGGATTTATCTTCATCATTTGCTCCTGTGTGTGAGTTGCAGGTTTGAGACTTTGGAGCCAGAGATGAATAATATAGCGACCCGCATCGATGATGTAAACCAGGTGGCGCAGCAGCTTCTGAACTCAGACCACTGCAGCAAAGACCAGATCCACCAGACCCAGGACCAGCTCAACACCAGGTGGCGCATCATCACTCGCACACGCGTCACACGTCCTGCTCGGATTCTGTCTTCCTCTGTCACAGCTTGTCTTCCCCCCCCCCTTACCTACCTTGGTTAGGTGGAAGGACTTCCAGCAGCTTGCTGACCAGAGGAAACAGGCGCTGGACTCTGCCCTCAACATCCAGAACTATCATCTGGAGTGCAATGAGATCCAGAGCTGGATGAAGGAGAAGACTAAAGTTATCGAGTCCACCCAAGGTCTGGGTAATGATCTGGCTGGTGTCATGGCCCTACAGCGGAAGCTCACGGGCATGGAGCGAGACCTTGAAGCCATCCAGGTAGGCTCATCCCTCCTTGGTGAACTGTTAAACCTGGATTAGCATTTAGCATTTATTGTTATAGCATCAGCATGATATCTGGCATGTTTGGATCATCAAAATAATAAAAATTATATTGATTTTTATTTTAGGGCAAACTGGATGACCTGTGTCAAGAGGCGCAGAAACTGGCCCAAGAACATCCTGATCAAGGTGACGAGATCCAAGCCAGGCTGCTGGAGATCCAGGATGTGTGGAAAGAGCTTAATGGCACCATGAAAGGACGTGAGGAGAGCCTGGGTGAGGCCAGCAAGCTGCAGGGCTTCCTGCGGGACCTGGACGACTTCCAGGCCTGGTTGTCCCGCACCCAGACAGCCGTGGCGTCCGAGGACAGTCCCACATCTCTGGCTGAGGCTGAACGCCTTCTGGCGCAACACAAGACCATCAAGAACGAGGTGGACAACTACAAGGAGGACTATGAAAAGATGCAGGCCTTGGGGGAGGAGGTTACCCAGGGCCAGACGGATGCCCAGCACATTTTCCTGGCCCAGAGGCTACAGGCGCTGGACACCGGCTGGCACGAGTTGCACCGCATGTGGGAGAATCGGCAGAATCTGCTGACCCAGGCTTCCGACTTCCAAACTTTCTTGAGGGATGCCAAGCAGGCTGAGGGTTTCCTCAACCGGCAGGTCAGAGGGCTGGGGCTGGAGGTGGGAGTGACAGATATGGGAAGCATGGGAAAATAGGCTGTTTCTAAGGGGATCTCCTTAGGGAGATTCAAGCAGTATCGTGAGAAATGGATTAGGAGAGTGAATTTGAAGCTTACATTTGGTTCACATTGAGCATTTTATGTATCATTCTGGTTTTTGGTAAAATATTAAGGTCATAAATCCTTTACTCCCCCAGGAATATACTTTGTCCCACATAGAAACACCCTCAAGTCTACAGGCAGCAGAGAATGCCATCAAAAGGCACGAGGGCTTCATGAACACGATGGAGGTCAACGAGGAGAAGATTATGAGTGTTGTAGACACTGGGTTGCACTTGGTCAACACGGGCAACGCTAATGCGGACAAGGTCCAAGAGAAGGTGGATTCCATCCAAGCCAGGTGAGAACGATGTTTGAAAGGCAGGTAGAAACCAAAAGAACAGGACAGGTGCAGGGAAGGACTGAGTGATCTCCATCTTTAGCAGTAACCTTTCTTTTTGTCCTTTCTCAGGTATGAGAAGAACAAAAAAGATGCCAGTGAGCTTCTGGCAAAGCTGAAGGACAATCGTGAGCTTCAGCACTTCTTGGAGGATGGTCAGGAGGTAACTAGGGGAAGAGGGCTCATGGTTTGTCACTCTAGGCGCAGGCGGTGCTGTACCAAGATCTTCCAGAGTATTCTTTTACCATGAATAAAAGATCAAGATCATGAAAAAAGATTAAGGTGAAGATTAATCTGAGCTTTCGTAAGCAAAGGAAATGCATTTTAAAATGCACGACAACCCCATTTTCTTTTGTAGCTGAGTCTCTGGATAAACGAGAAGATGCTCACAGCCCAGGATATGTCCTACGATGAAGCCAGGAACCTCCACAGCAAGTGGCAGAAACACCAGGCTTTCATGGCTGAGTTGGCTTCCAACAAGGACTGGCTGGACAAGATCGACAGGGTACCCTGTCTTTATTTTAATTGTTACTAATTCTATAAGTAACTCCGTACTGTTTAGCACATCCCCTTTTTGCCTTAACGTCTCCAGGAAGGACAGACATTGGTGCGCGAGAAGCCAGAACTGGAGCCAGAGGTGAATCAGACCCTGGCAGGGCTCCAGCAGCAGTGGGAGGAGCTGGAGGCTACCACCCGCACCAAGGCGCAGTGCCTCTTTGATGCCAACAGGACAGAGCTCTTGACACAGAGCTGCTCTGCCTTGGACTCTTGGCTGAAGAACCTGTCCTCCCAAGTGCAGAGCGACGACTTTGGTAAAGATCTGACCAGCGTCAACATCCTCCTGAAGAAGCAACAGGTGTGTGGACCACAACAGGACAGGGCTTTGAAGTAGAATTGTGAAAAATATATTACTACAGTCATAACTACAGTGCAACTGTGGTTCAGTGGGAACTGTGGGGCTTACAGTTTTAATGGACCTTATCTCTATGGTTATATCTGCTCCTGGTCTCTGCAGATGTTGGAGCACCAGATGGAGGTGCGAGAGAAAGAGGTGCAGTCGCTGCAGGCCCAGGCCCAGGCCCTGTCCCAGGAGGAGGCCGGCCTGGTGGAGGTCGACTGCCAGCGGATGCAGGTGGCCGAGAGCTTCTCCCAGTTGGCTGAACCCATCAAACAGCGACGGCAGCTCCTCCTGGCCTCCAAGGAGGCCCACCAGTTCAACCGTGACCTGGAAGATGAGATTGTGAGCAGCACAGAACTGTACTTTTGGCCCAATTGCTTAAATTCCAGTGTGAATAATGCCTGAAGCATCACTGTTTCCTCCTCCTTTTAGCTGTGGGTCAAAGAAAGGATGCCTTTGGCGACCTCTACAGATCATGGGCGAGATCTACCTAGTGTGCAGCTTCTCATGAAGAAAAACCAGGTAAGAGGTTCAGCCTCGTTATGGCGAGAGCCAGTTGATGGAGACATGTTGAGTGAAAACAAGCAGAAGCCCCCAAAATGAATAAGGTTCTTTTTAATCATGGTAGAGGGTTAATATTCTCTTTCCTCTCCAGACCCTGCAGAAGGAGATCCAGGGCCATAAGCCCCGCATCGATGACATCCAAGCCCACGGGCACTCCATGGCTCTCGCTGAGAAGGGCCAGGCCGACCTGGAGGAGCGCTTGGCGGAACTGCGAGACTCCTGGGCGACGCTGATCTCCGAGACGGAGAAACGGCATGGCCGGCTGGCGGAGGCCCAGAACGCCCAACAGTTCTACGCGGACGCCGCCGAGGCCGAGGCCTGGATGGGGGAGCAGGAGCTGCACATGATATCAGAGGAGAAGGCCAAGGTGAGCGCCTGGAGGCTTCGGATCATTCCGGGCCACGTTTCCCAAAAGCAAAGTTGCAAACGCTAGCAACTTACTTGGGGCACTTACGCTGCACAAAGAGCGTTGGGGTAGTTTGAAAACCCTACAGACTATTTACAAAGCTTACATCTCACTCCAGCCAGCTGACCGAAATTGGTCTTTCTGGGAAAAATGCGTCTGAAAAGTTCCAACCATGTCCCTAAAGGGAGCTTTTGGGAAACGGACCCCCGGTCTCAGGTGGGTGGATTAGTGGCCATGTGAAAAGCCATGTGAAAAAGGAGGCCGTCATGTAAACCTGGATGACGTTCGTGCTAATGCAACAGTCTTCGTTAACATCGTGCAATGTGCTGTTATGTCTGCTAAAGAGTTCCTGTTCATGTAATTGTTTTTTAATAGTGTTCATATAGCGAAGTTCAAATACAGTAAAATTTATGCCCAGTTAAAACAATTGCACTTAAGACTTCCATTCCACGGACCTTAAAATATCTTTAAATTCAGTTAAAATGACCAAATCCTTCAGTTTCAGCTTATTTTGCTTAAATGAATGAAGTGTTGTAGTCATGGAGCTAAAGATGAGATTTGAAAAGAACATTGATTGGCTTTGTTTGATGTTGGGGAGCAAGGGTGTGAGAGCAGACAGACCACATGCTGTGTGCATTCCAGCTCGCTTATTCTCCCTGTCGGTCGGTCCCTCGGCGAATCCAAAATGGCTAACGTGAGCAGGCAACTTTCCCAGTCTGTTAAATCCCAAGAGTTATAATTAAGTCCCCTGTTTTGATCCCATGTCACAAGGACCTACAAGCCATTCTGAGTGAATCCAGTCTTGTACTCGAGAGACTCTGTATATCCAGGAAGTGAATTTTAATTGCTTTGGGCAGCGTCTGGGAGGTCAGGCTCATGAAGGGTGCTCTTATCAAGGGTCCGCTCTCCTGCCTTCGCGTTTGGCCCTTTGGCCCCCAGCGTTATGCTGGGCTGCTGCTCAGTGTGCCGCTGCTAATTGGATGTTTCTGCACTTGTAGGATGAGCAGAGCGCCCTGGCGATGGTGAAGAAGCACCAGGTGCTGGAGCAGGCCCTGGAGGACTATGCCCAGACCATCCACCAGCTGGCTAACAGCAGCCGGCTCATGGTGACCAGCGAGCACCCTGAGAGGTGTGTGTGTCGGACTTGATGTCTTCTCATTCTTGCTTACAAATTCACCATTATAATCACTTTTGGGATGTTCCGTTGAAGTTACCGAATCGCTACGACCCAGGGGCTATTGTACGATAAAAAGGGGTCAACCAATGATATACTTTTAATTTGTGAGTGACAGGGGAAGGGGCCATCTGGGAGCCAGTCAGCTTTCAGCTGTGCCCCTATGGCCCCGCCCCGGTATGACCTGTGCTTATTGTTTCCATAAAGATTCTACGGTTCATCCCTCCGCTTTTGTCCCCACTCAGTGAGCGGATCACGCTCCGGCAAGCCCAAGTGGACAAGCTGTACGCCGGGCTGAAGGACCTGGCAGAGGAGCGTCGCGGCCGCCTGCAGGACCGCCTGCGGCTCATGCAGCTCAAGCGGGAGGTGGACGACCTGGAGCAGTGGATCGCCGAGCGGGAGGTAGTGGCTGGTTCCCACGAGCTGGGCCAGGACTACGAGCACGTCACGGTACCGTCACCCCTCTGCTAAACGGACTGACTTTTCCTCATAACAACTCATACTCAGAACACTGCACTGGCCATTTGCACACTCTTTCCACCTAATCAGTGTTTATTTTTTTCCTTACGTCTAAAATTAAATGTCCATTTCTGGAAGTGTACCATCTTAATGTCTTGCTTTTATATGCAGGGGTGGAACTTACGAATTTTTGCTACTAGTCAACTGTAAAAAACATGCAGCCAGACGAGTGGCGAGCTCAATATTCAGCCCTGCTTATATGTTTTGCATTTTTCCATTTTATTCCTTTTCTTCATTATGAGCGATGAGGGCCAATATTTCATCTCGGTGTATGATAAAGGCATCATAGAGCTACCATGACAATAAAAATACTTTCATTTGACACTTCACTTATGACTTTGCCTTTCGCCACGCCTTCCTAAGTTGTTCAAAATGCGTAGAAGTATCTCATTCAGATCCATGACTTTGACGTCAGGCTTCACTCATCCTCTCATTTCCCTTCCTTCAGATGCTGCGGGACAAATTCCGTGAGTTTGCCCGTGACACGAGCACCATCGGACAGGAGCGCGTGGACAGCGTCAACGCCCTGGCAGATGACCTCATTGAGTCGGGCCACCCGGAGAACGCCAGCGTGGCCGAGTGGAAGGACGGCATGAACGACTCCTGGGCCGACCTCCTGGAGCTGATGGACACGCGTACGCAGATGCTGGCCGCCTCCTACGAGCTGCACCGCTTCCACCAGGACGCCCGCGAGGCACTGGGACGCGTGCGAGAGAAGCACGAGGCGCTGCCCTCCGATTTGGGCCGCGACCTCAACTCCGTGCAGCATCTGCACCGGCAGCACACCGCCTCCGAACACGACATCCAGGCCCTCAGCGGACAGGTTCGTCTCCCGCTTACTTGACCTGCCATCACCTGACTAACACGTCTTTGACCCAACATAACCTTTGACCTCACATAACATTGTTGCTTGTGGGAAATTTGGTGAGAAGTGTAAGAAAATACTATATTTTAAATTAATATAATGTTTGAATTAGAACATCAATATTTGTTGTTGTTATTATCAGAAGTTGACTGAAGTAGAGGAGATAGTACCTCCTTTTTTGAGATTAAATTATAAAACTTTATTAAAATTATTAAACGTATTGCCATAAAAAAACACATTCTCCCTTTTTTTTTGGAAAAATGCACTATTGTAATATTATTATCTTCTTACTTCCTTTAGCTGCCACTGATTAATATATTGGGTGTCGTGGGGGGACAGTGGGTGGCAGTGTGGTCTCCAGGGATGGGGGTTTGAATCCCCCATGTTTGTTCCCACAGTTTAAACGCATACAGCTAGGCGAATTGGCGCACTGTACTGCCAGAAGTGCGTGTTTGTCTGTATGTATGTGGGTGTGCGACTGTCCCTTCTTGGGTGACCCCCGGCCTCATGCCCTGTGTTTCCCGGGACATGCTGGGCTCGCAGTGATCTTGTACTGGATTAATGTTTATGAATATTTGTATTCAGTAATATTTATAATGTGTATCAGATATCGGCGACTGAAGTCTAAGGGATCAACATGGGTATCAGAAGGTCAGGCCGGCTCACAAGGCCACACTGACGCAACACGTGCTTACATACTCCACGGCGCCTCCTACAGGTCCGGCAGGTGCAGGAAGACGCAGAGCGGCTGCAGAAGGCATACGCCGGAGAGAAGGCCGAGGACATTGAGAAGCACGAGCGCGCCGTGGCGGGGGCCTGGGAGGCTTTGCAGGCAGCCAGCCAAGCTCGCCGGCTCCTCCTGCTGGACACGGTGGAGAAGTTCCGCTTCTTAAACATGGTGCGCGACCTCATGCTCTGGATGGACGGCGTCAACCTGCAGATCGATGCCCATGACAGCCCCAGGTAACAAGTCTCCCGCGGGTCTGGCCGTCCTACAGGCAAACCGAATTACACGCGTTCAGTGAGGTCTGAATGCTCTCGTCTCCCTCCCTACTGCCGTCTCAGGGACGTCTCGTCAGCCGGCCTGGTCATCGCCAACCATCAGGACATCAAGTCTGAGATGGAGGCCCGATCTGACAGCTTTGCCGCATGCCATGAGATGGGCACCATGCTCATCAAAAATAAACACTATGCTTCTGACGAGGTACGACGCCGCCCTGTCGGTATCCTGCATGGCGCCCCCACTGTCTCCTGCAATGTCATATAGGTCATGTAATTATGTAGATTACGCAGGATCATCTTCCAGATACTGAATTATGGGACCATATATGTGTGTGTGTGTGTGTGTGTGTGTGTGTGTGTGTGAGTGGTTTTGAAGTATTTTGATCTACTAGAAATTAAACATTTCCAACCATCTAAACCGTACATGAAGAGTGGAGTGAAAATTATGAAGACGATCGTATATATTTTTTTAATTTTTAATTTTTATTTTTTTTAAATTTTATTTATTTTTTATCACAATCGTATATTTAAGTATAACCAACAAAGCAGTAGCACAAGAACTGTGTTAAATATCCTTATGTGAGTTAGCTGTGAATGTGATTAGCTGTAAATTGTAAGAGATCTTTATTTGCTGAATTTGGGAAACAAAGTCTTAATTCCATTTGTTTTACATAAATTGTAAACGTTATTTGATGAGGCTTCTTCTATGGTTCTGCCTGCTTGGCTTTTTTATAGAAAATTTCACCCCAAGTGACTAAAATCGCTCCTCTTTTATGCAGCCATTCAGTTCCTGCTTTCCGTATCCCTGATTTCTGATTTAGCCCAGGAGAGAGATTCCTACTGAGGCTGTTTAAGTTATGAGCCCCCCTGTGATAGGGCAGCAGTGGCCCCGCCCACATTTACATGCAGACAGGAAGTACTCCTGCTCATTAAACCGTGTGCTTTGGGCACCTCTCAGTGGATGGATAGCAGGCACCTTATGCCGAGGAGTAACTGGACCGGTACCTTCGTCCTGCTGTAGGTGCAGGAGAAACTGGACCAGCTGCAGGAGAAACGGGATGAAATCAACAACAAGTGGCAGGAGAAGATGGACTACCTTCAGATCGGTGAGCAACATGCTTGTGTCTGTGTGTGTGCGTGGGGACATGTGTATATTACGTTATGGGGACTAGATGTCCCCACAATGTAGTAATAAAAGCCTGTTATTTTGACCTCGTGGGGACATTTTTTTCGGTCCCTACAATGGGAAACTCAATTTTATAATAATCTGAGACTGCAATAAAAATAAAAAAATTTGTGTAATTACTTGTGGTTAGGGTTAGGGCTGGGTAGGGGTTAAGGATGTCATTGTTGGGATTAGGGTTTTTCCCAAAGAAATGAATGGAGAGTTCCTGTGAAACGTATGAATACAAACGTGTGTGTGTGCATGTGTTTGTGTGATAGCAGGCTTGTTAAGTCCATTAATGGCTTAGTCACCCCCCCACCCCGTGTCCCCTACCTTGAGGACCCAGTGCCCTTCCTTCCTCGTTGCACACTAATGACCCCCACTCCCTCCCCCTTACCACAGTGCTGGAGGTGCTGCAGTTCGGGCGTGACTCCTCGGTGGCCGAGTCCTGGCTGGCAGGGCAGGAGCCGCTGGTGCGGGCGGCTGAGCTGGGCTCCAACGTGGACGAGGTGGAGAGCCTCCTCAAGCGGCACGAGGCCTTTGAGAAGCTGGCCGCCGGCTGGGAGGAGCGCTTCGTGCAGCTGGAGAAACTCACCACGGTAGGCTGGGGGAGCGGCCATTCAGCACAGAAAGCAGGCGGCGCCCTCTAGCCCCCCCCCCATCTCAAAAAAACACTCAGAATTTAATATAAACCACACTGCTGACAAACAGGCCATGAATGCAATGTTATATAAACATGAATGAGGCAACATATAACTTTTTAGAGTCTATCATGCCGCTATTCTTTTTTAGGTAAATGTGAGCAGAGTTTTCTTGACTTCTTGACTGTGTGTGTTGTTTAAACAAGCTTGAGGAGCGGGAACTACAGAGGAGGAGAGAGGAAGAGGAAAGAGCAAGGCGGCCTCCCACACCCCCGCCTGTGGAGGAAGTGGTACAGTCTGAAGATAGCATGGAGCACCTGTCTGCTGCCAGGTGAGGATTGTTTCAAAATAAAATGGGGGGGGGGTCATAATGTTCACATGATACCTATATGACTGTATGAGGGACTAGATTTAAACTCATCCCTTCACTCTCTATCCCACTGCAGAACTAGTTTGGACCAGACCACTCTTAACCAGTCTGTGCCTGTGAATGGTGTCTACAGCGATCAAGACACATCCCTGGTAAGCGCTGTGACTACGGAGCATGATCCTGCCTCACAACTGCTGCCGTTCTTGCTTTGGGCCTTAGCGTAAAATCACTCAGATCACCATAGGCCAGGCTGTAAAACGACACTGCGCTGTGTTTGTCTCTGACACATTTAACCCTTTATGCCCGAAAACGCCGTGGGCGCTAAAAATGACTCCTCAATCTGTGACTCAGTGTTTTTCTGAATAATTTAACCTTTGATCCATTTGTCACTGCAAAGTTTTTTTTCTTTCAGGCATAGATTTTCACACATTTTAAGCTCGGAAGTTTCTGGCTTTGCATTTCATTTGGAAAGATATTTCTGGGTCACCTTAGCACAATGCATTTTATAGATGAAGGCCGTTAGTGGAGGCCAGTTCTCCCATTTTATGAGCGAATACAGTTTTTTGGTTATCCGTTACTTGTTACTGTTGCCAAATTTTAGACAATATATCTTTTTATTTTTGGGCGCACTTTACATGAGGAACTGCAAATAGCGCAGCTATTCAGTTACAGCCCATGATCAAATCATGAGCAAGAATAGTTCCTGCATGAAATACATGAACCGTCATGATCGACTAATGATGAACAAACTTGGGATCAGCACATAACTAATGCTTAGTTACTAGGTAATTAATACATTAAATCAGTGTGTACTACTACATAATTTGTGCCCCCTCTAGTAAGGTGTTACCTATTTTTATATATGATTATGCAATTTACAGGTAAATTTCCTTTGTATTGTTTACAGCTTTTGTACAGGTTTGTGCTGGTACTTGTGACTTGTGTCATGCCATCTAATGGTCACTGTCAAGACCCCTTTTGAGCAACAGCGATGTCTGTGACATGGTCTGTGTTTTTGTCTGCAGTCACTGTCACTGCCCAAGACAGCTGACTTTAAACCAGGGTCTCGTCAGCCTGTGAGTACTTATCATGCGTTCCATTTGCCTCGGGATCCGATTTTTGGATTCCGATATTACGTCACATCCGCTAAAAACTCAGGAAAACCGAGTCGGATGCGTTACATTTGCCACAGAAGTAGCAATACCATGGGCCCATATGAAAAAGCAAGATTTTTTGCTTAGCCGGACAAGGTACTTCAGTTTAATTTGCCTTTATCTTCGCTCACTTTTCAATTAGCCCGAACTACCTTAAATCCGACAAATAATCCGACTAATCATGAAATCCAATTTTAGCCCGGTTAATTGGTAGCCATTGTTAGCAATATCACTTGATAACACATTACGCGCAGTGCTTCATGTATAAAACTCCGTAGCAACACGTCCACAGATAAGTTGGACGGTATAGTGTGTGCGACCGATTTAATGAGCCACAAATGAGAAGTAGTGCTTAAACAGGATAAAACTACAACTTTCCCGTCTGTCGATAAAGGGCGTAGCCATTTTGGATTCTGATCTCGGGATCCTCTGTGCTGTCCGAGATATTTCTCGGATCTCCGAGAAACGGGAGCGCGCATGTCGTCACTTCCGGCTTCAAAACTCGGAATCCGATTCGGAATCCAAGTTCCGAGAGCAAATGGAATGCAGCATTAGCCATAAGCCTGTGAAAACCCCTCCCCCATTACACAGGGTGCTTAATTGGCTGCAGTACTATTCTGTGACCCGCTAGGGGGCAGTATACCTTAGTTACTGCTGCATAGTTTTACAAAGCATGTGTGACATGTTGGCCTTGCTTGTTGTTTTTCAGTTTAGTGGCCTCATTGCTGAGGTTTGTTTGAAAACGCTGGTTTCACTTTTTCTTTTTACACTTCTGCTAGCATTTCTAAAATGGATTTTTTGATTTTTGCTTGTTATTTAACTAGGCTGTGGTTATTGAAATAGTTCTGCTGGATGATTTTGATGCCGGTCTGAATCAGTCTTCTCTCTGTGGTGATTATTGTATACAATTACAAGCCTTGCTCTAATTATCCTGGGAAATGTCAATTGTAAAGCTACCTTTTGGTTTACAGAGTTTGTATTGAACTGCACTTCTGTATAGGTTTACAGAGGTTCACCACAGGGGAAGTTTGATGCTTTTCAGACACAGTGGTGTTTCTCAATTCAGATTCTGTTTTAGTTCAGTCCGCTTTCAATCTGCTTTTAATCCAGATTTCACAGCTGACCCTTATTTGTTTGAAGGTTCTTAGTGCTCATTCTGCATTCCTCAGCTTGCCAGCTGGTGTCATAACTGTGGTGACCTGAACTGAAATGAGAAACCCTTTCTTGGCTGAGGGGGGACTGTGGGGAGCTTTTTAGTGGCCAGTCTATGGAGATTACAGTCTTGGTCATTGAGTCGATGCTCCAGTAAATCCAGTGGATCTTCAGACTGGAAAAACTGAGCTTCCTATACTTCCCCATGACCCTGAGCTCTGATTCCTCTGAACATGTCATCAAAGGAGATCATGTTTACTTTGCTAATATTTTGAGAAATAAATTTCAAGTAATCATAGCCCAACCCCTTTGCCCCCCTCCCCCATATATTTATGCATCCACTCGAGTTGGAGTTTGCTTCTGTGCCTGTCATTGGGTATAATTATCATAATGGTAGGAGAACAACAGGCAAAAGGTACTGATGATTAGAAAGGGGACTCGGGCTCAGTTACAGTGCGTAAATCCTTTTCCTGAATGCGGGTGGCATGTGTTTGTGGGTTTGCAGGGATCAGAGATGGACTCCGTCAATGGGCCTGGCCATGAAGGCGGGCGAGCGTCCCCCATCCGCCAGGAAGCCCCCGTCCCCATAGCAGAGTCCAGCAGGAGCCCCGCGGAGGCGGGCAGCCCAGGGACCATCGAAGGCATGCTGTGCCGCAAACAGGAGATGGAGTTGCATAACAAGAAGGCGGCAAACAGGTGAGAAAAGACACTCTCTCCATAGCGGGGCCTGAATTGTAGGGCCCTTTATGAGCTGTTTGTGACAGAGCCTTGTGCTGGGCTCTGACAGGCCATTCAGAATACTAGTGATGGCCAAATGAAGCTTCATGAACCATCTGCTGTATTTTCTGACACCACTAGATGGTGCTTTTTATTCAAAAAGTGCTCAATGCATGGCCCAAAGCAAACCAAGAGTGTCACCAACTAGGGTCAGAAAATACAGAAAATGGTTCCTTTGGCTATCACTACAGAATGCTGCTCTCTATGTGCAGCTGTAAAGTGTTTGAACAGGCAGCGATTCAGCAGGATGTAGACGTGTGTGACGGTTACGTGATTCCCATCAGGGCCACATGCGCCATGGCATGGCTGCTGACCTGGCCTCGTGTTTCATTGATTTGTTTCATCATGGACAGGTCCTGGCAAAACGTTTACTGCGTGCTGTGCAAGGGCAGCCTGGGCTTCTACAAGGACAGCAAGAGTGCGTCCAGCGGGGCAGCCTACCACGGGGAGGTGCCCGTGAGCCTCACCCATGCCAGCTGTGAGGTGGCGCACGACTATAAGAAGAGGAAGAATGTCTTCAAGCTGCGGTGAGCAGAGATGACATGGCTTTTACTCCAGATTAACATGAAAATGAGATCAGGTAGAACTTCATTGATCCAACAAGGGAGTACATTTTCATCTCCAGCACTATTACACAAGCAAACAAATAACATTGATTGGTTGATTGACAGACAGACAGGCAGATGTGCAGTGTGTGGCTCAGTGGGTTCGGATGCTGTGTCTGTGATCAGAAGGTTGCCGGTTCAAATCTCAGGGTCAGCAGTGCAATTTCACTGTTGGGCTCCTGAGCAACACCCTTAACCCCCAGTTCCTCTAGGACGTTTTGGATAAAAGTGTCTGCTAAGTAGCTGTAGATATACTTTATTAATTAGACACAAGAATGCATTGTAATGCTGTTGAGTCTTACATAATTCAAAAGTGCGTATTAAGTTACGTATGTACTTCTCGAAGGCATATGAAGTACCCTACCCAGTGATACAACAACAAGACCACTATTCCTGCAGCTTCAGTTTGGTTAACATTTTAACATTAACATTTCCTTTGGGCTTGAGTCCATCACAGGCTGCCTAGTGGTGTATTAAACTACTCATGTTGTCATGTTGGTGCATTAGAAATATGCATAGACCTCCTGGCATTACATTTCTCCCTCTGACCACAGGATTGCAGATGGAAAGGAGTACCTGTTCCAGGCTAAAGATGAGGTAAATATTACTAAATGATTTCTAGGTATCAATGAAAAAATGTGGGAATAACAAAATATAGCTTGTTAATCTTTTGGGTGACTGTGAGCTTTCAGAACCTGTAGGCATCAGGGAGCTGAGGTAATTTGTGGAATTTGCCTCCTTTAAATAGAGGTACGGTTTATTGCTGTGAGCATGTCACGGGATAACCCCGCAGATGCTCTGTGGGTAGGCATCCGGCGATGTGGTGATTAATTACTAAATCAGACTTCTGCAATCATCACTTAACCCAAAGCATACAGTAGATTCACATAGCTAACTATTGAAACATGGCAAAGACCAATGGATCGGACATAATGACACACTACCTGTATGTTGAAGTGTTTGCTCCTTACATCAGTTGATGTGATGCATTGTGATATGAGCCATTTTTGTCTGGGATTGGACTGGGATTAAAAATCGGCCCTGGATTTTGGGGTCCCTCACGATAACTTTAGTCAACCTGGGGGTCCCTGGCCCATATACCCATGGGCCCACTGAGAAGATGCTTGGTGTGCCAGATAGCCAGTTCAGCCTTGGCTACACCCTATGCTATCTCGAGTGTGTGACTGTTACTTCTGTATTGTTGGTTTTCTGTCATTCATCTGTCATTCATGTAATTAATGTATGGCAGTATTGATGACATACTGTGTGTGAGAGTATGGTGGTAGTGAGGATGCTCCTCATATTTCCTTCTCCTTCAACTTAGGCTGAGATGAGCTCCTGGATCCAATCCATCCTACCGTCCACCACGCCAACAGAGACACCCAGAGACCAGTCCCCCATGGGCCCGAAGGTCCTCACCAGAGCCATGACCATGCCCCCCATTTCCCCCACCTCTGCGGAAGCCGGCAGCGTTACCATGCGCAACAAGGACGGCAAGGAGCGGGATCGCGAGAAGCGCTTCAGCTTCTTCGGCAAGAAGAAGTAGAGACAAAACACACTTCAGGCGAACGTTTGGCTCTGAAACATGCTGAGATTCCTCACGGTCTCTGTCCACAGGATCCTCTCACCATAAAACCCAATCCATACTCCTTGTATCTGTGTGGTCTTAATTGGACCTGTAAGATTTGATAGTCTGGGTTCTGTTCGTCTTATTACTATGTAAAAGGTAAACGGTCAGGGCACAGCATTAAATGGGTGACCTTCATCAGGGGAGAAATCAAGAGGTGTAGAATAACTCTACCAGTAAGGCCAAGAGTGAACTCGGTGGAAACATACAGATCCATTTTGTTGTCTTATCCATTAGCACAGCTGTAGCGTTAACCTTCATTGGCCAGATGTAAACAACCAACCAACCAATGACAACTTTACTCAAGTTGTATAAGAGGTTTAGTTTAAGGGTGTCTTTGGCTAAACTTCTAAATATAATCAGCCTGACGGTGAGCTCTTGTGCTAATGGCCCTGCTCCGATGTTCTCTTCATAAAATTGTCTGAAGGAGATTGTTTCTTTTGATTAAAATTATAAATATTGTTATTTACCTTTTTTTTTTTTTTTGCTCATGCTGATTTTAAGAAAATGTTCATAAGTCTGGGGAAAAGCTTGTGAAACTTTACCAATCTTTACAAATACATGTAGGTCGCCGGGAAATTTTCTGAGTTCAGGTTTTGTTTGTTTTTATTGAAGAACAACATTATAAATGAAAGGAATGGAGAATATCGAGTGTCGGGTTTGGTAAAAACAGCGAAAATGTAATTTTATTGTATTTTATCCTTTTGTATTTCATATAGTTGTCCCTGCCTCCACTTAACAAATTAGAGATTCTAGTATTGAAGCAGTTATTGACTTGTTAATTTTGTGGGTCTGTTTGAGAAAACTATCCTTCTTATTGCAAAAATAACATATCTAATGATATGGGGTGATTCTGGTATCTGATTTAAAACGGTTTTTGCTTTCATTTCCTTATGTAAAAATGTTGCCTATTTTTTCAGCTGTCTTTCAGGGAGTTTATTCTGTTAAACACTAAAAATTAAAAAACAAAAAAACAAAAATTGTCCTGAAAATGGTTAATGATGAAAAGTGATGTCCCAGGGAAGGAATCCATTTGGGATTTATTTTTGAGATCTTTTGGTTTGGAAAAACATTTGCTCAGATAATGGCTGAATATCAGTGGATGGTTTTACAACAAATAATTCTTAAAGATAATTAATCCTTTATTTTAAAACGCACGTCAGTGCCAGGGATATAGCATAACAGCGGCTGAGGTGCAGTACTGTCCGTAGACATTTTTATTGCTTATTGTCTCCCTAGACCTTTTGAGGTTGAGATGTCTGAGCAAGCCCTTGTGGAAACGAGTATAGAAATGGTTGGTCTGTCTAAGGGGCATCACTGCTGAACCCTGCAAGATGCCCTCTGTGTCTTCCTGGTGTGGAATGATCGCGCGCCTATTCATGAATTCTCACTGGCCAGGCTCTCTTCCTGATGCCTGCGTGTTCCTCTAGATTCCAGAGGCAAAATGGGATGATACTGTGAAGCCTGGGAAGAAGGACCAGGCGGAGTGTCATGCAGCAGCTGGCTGCCACACATTCCTCATTACCCTTATTTTTCTACTTCATGCCTCATGTTTTTTTTCTAATTGAGCTAAGAGAAGTATGAGGGCAGGGGTGAGCTGGAGATTTGATGCAAAGACAACAGCGCGTACATTTGCACTATACAAATCATACATCATACAGGAGGTATCTGGGAACCTGCTCTCAAGGCAAAAGATTGAGAATGAAAGAGTAGAATCCCAGCTAGTAAAAGTATAAAAGTACTAAAAGTATCCGCTTGATCTGTTGTGCTACCAGTGGTGGGGGTTCAGTGCTCTAAGTGTACCTGGCCTTCGACCGGCAATTTGGTATTACTCAGTATCTGTCACGGTAAAGGCCGGTCACAGCTTCCATTCTCCGTAGCAAAACCATGATCATCAGTCTGTCAGGAGAGACTGAGCTCATGAGGTTTGGCTTCAATGAGATGTTGATCTTCCAGGGAAGGGGCCTTCAAAGACAGATGTTCGCTATCCATCAGTTCCTGCTTCACGCTCTGTCTGCTTATAATGTCATTTTTCTAGCATTTGGAATATTTACTTATTAGCTTGCTGGCTAGGTTTTGACATAAATGCCTCACTCATGCTAGAAATGCGCATGAGCATTCTACATGGTCAGAGAAGAATCCCTTCATCCTGGATGAGAAAGCTGTTGAGTCAAGCATGGCTGATTTCGCTAACAGGCATAAAATTAACAGCTTGATTGTACTGGAATAATGTGACTTTATGGATGCTTTGCTGCCCGTGCACCTGATGAGATTTGCCCCTAGTACCTTGCTCAGGATAAGATGTTGGGAGATTGATGTATGTTCTGTTGTGTTCTGATTGGAGAAGAATGAGAACTTACCATAGATTGGGAGATACAGGGAATGTTTTGCAATAGTAGTGTGAAAATATTATCCTAACTCATGAACTATTAAGATAAACACTTTTGTTATTCCTGAGATATTAAGTGTAAAACTAAAGAAAAATTACTGTATTTAAGCAATATAAAGGTCTTATGTTTGGAAAATCTCTTGAGTGTTCAACTGTTTTGATATTTTATATCATGACAAAGCAACCTCTTACAAAAAAATGTTGATTTTAAAAATATGGTCATCTCAGTTCTGTTGTTAATTTACTTACCCTGAGTCACTGCCACTGCTACAATTTGTTATTGTTTCTACTACTAGTTAGGTATTGCTACTACTGCTAGTTATATATTTCAATGACTACTGTTTGTAGATACATTGGTAATGTCAGATCTCACGATATGTCAGTGTGCTATGTAGCATTTCCACTGTCTACTTGTATACTTATATCAAATTGGACAAAATAAATGGAAGCTTGAGCAGCTCTCCTTGTCTTTGGTGGTGTGATTAGATTTACTCTGGACGAAGCTCTGAATGCTTTTAAATGTCTGCAGCAGCGGGGGTGTAGTTAGAGATGAATGGATGGGGGGCGGATGGCAAAGTATTCTTTACTTAAACCAATAAATACACATTTATTTGGGGTAAGGGCTGGCTAAAAAACATTTTAGGGTGGCTAAAGCCCCCCCCCCTAAAATAGGCCTAACAACACCCCTGATCTGCAGTAAGTTGGCATCTGTGGATGTTCAGACTGGGCTTGGATCATTGATTCTTATTCAACATTGTGTGTGTATAGTATGTGTGTCATACTACTAGAATTCTATGTAACGCTGACATCCCATCAAGAATGCATGGCTGCCTGGTTGGACAGGTGAATTCATGTATGTAGGAATTATATTTTTACTCAAATTTATGCATCACCTGTTATAAAGTATTGAACATGCTGAGGAATTCTGTATAGTCTTAAAAGTGATTTAGCCAAAATGTTCAATAAATTTATCATGAGAACGATCTACATGACCTTTCTCGGCCAAGGTTCCTAGCCTATATTCCAAAACTATTTTGCCATCACCTTAATATGGTAATAAAAATGTCTAAGCTCTTAAAAATGTGTAGAAGTATTTTCATAATGAGAAGATATTTTTTACATCCTTTAAACCTACTTTGTTTCTTATGAAAATGTATATAAAGCAGTTCCATTAACTGGTGGGTAATGACAAGCTATGGAAGGAAACCTACCATCTACAGATTTGCAATTGCAGTTATATAGCTGGATGATTGCTTAGTATTGAGTTTAGCTGAAAAATATATGCAGTATGTAGCTTAGGATAGTGGTAAACAGTTCTGTGTGGTATTCCGGATTGTTGCATTTTTGCAGTTCTGAATCTTGTAGCTGGATTATATGTAGACACACTATAGTGCAAATCATACTTTTGTCCCAGGACACTAAAGGCGTAACTTATGCCCTAGCACTTTGAACAAAATTAAACACATTTGTTTAAGTTACTCTCACTTTTCATTCTTCAGTTTTATCTAGTCAATATAGGGCTGCCAAGGTGCTACAGAGGGTAGCGCTGCTGCTTTTCCTGGTTGGAGATTTGACTCCCAACCCTTAGTGTTGTTCCCCTGGTTCCCTCTGGTTGCTCTGTTTTCTTTCCACAGTCCAAAGGCATGAAAATCGGTGTTTCCAAATCACCCATGATGTGTGGGCTTATGTGTGTGTGTGTGTGTGTGTGTGTGTGATGGACTGGCTTCCTGTCCAGGGTGCTTACCAGCCTTGTATCCTGTGCTGCCTGGGACTGGTCCCCTGTGCTGCCTGGGACTGGTCCCCTGTGCTGCCTGGGACTGGTTCCCTGTGCTGGATAAGCGGGTGGAAGATGGATGTCTTTCCATAATTAAAAGCTACTTGAATTTCACTTGCAGTTAACATGGAGAAACGGGTTGTTTTCAGTTCTCATCTTCACTTTCAATCATAAATTTAATCCAGAAATTTATGAAATATCATACATAATGATATAATTTTAAAGTCAATTAAGCTATATGACGCCCAGGAAGTCTTGATATTTCCATTGTCATTGAAGGTATGTTGACTAGACCAGTTTTTTTCCCCCACTATTAACAGTGAAGGCATCCAGGGTTTATATAGTTTGGCAGCGTGTCCTAGTCTCATTTACGCAACGTCTTCTACATATTACTATTACTGTTATGTTGCACGCTGCCCTACAGCACCAGAGGTCAATGCATCCACTGTATTTTAATCAAAAGCTTTTTTATAACCTTGATCCAGCCTTCAGCTATCAGTTTACCCTATTGGCTGACTTTTTTTTAAGGGAAAGATTATTCTTTTTATTGTTTTAACTTGTGCCCCATGAAGTACTGGCATCCCATCCTGAACACACCCTGTCTCCTGTGTTTCCTGGTGTAGCCTCATTCGCTGAAATTATATGGATGGCTCTTTTTGACGTGGTCGATGTGTGTTGCCAATCACCCTGTAATAACTATGGATTTATCTAAGTACATTTGTGGCGAAAAGTCTGGATCCTTTGGGTGGTGGGAAGCAAGGTTACTGGCAGTGTCTTATCAAAAGCCTGCATCTGTGGATTGATGTATGGGGAAATAACCAGGCAGAAGCAGCCCTCTGTAAATAGAACTGAGTGTCCCTGCTGTCATACTGCGATCCAGGATCTGATGACAAATAACTGAAAAACACTTGTGCACTGGTGGTCCGCAGCTGTCTCCCTGCCTACTGTCAAGCCCAGATCATGCAAATTTGTAGAAGTTGTGTGACATAATATTTTAACGAATACATTTAATAACTCAGTTTTCTATGCACAGAGGGATGTGTGATTTCATTCTGTCTCCAATGAGGGTTCATCTGGAAATATTGTCTCTGACATTACCCATTACTGCTTATTTACTTTTTCATTTCGGTCCTGCAATTTAAGCTGATTCCTCATTATCTCGGTAAGTGTTTTCATTTATGGCAGTATGTGCAGGTCATCATGACCACAGTTTATAAATAATGTTTTGATGTTAATGTTTAAAGTGTTTATCCAGGTGACCCCATACTCACACAAGACAAAGCTGTGTTACAGTGTACGAAGGGTTATTGTTACTGCCAAGGGATGACAGTACTTTAAATAATAGCATTAATTTCAGCCTGGGGTAATGGAGCAAAGAGGAATCAGATTTGTGAAATCCCCCACCCTTCAAAATATACATAAAATATATATGAACTTTACCAATAACCTGATTGGTCTTTATTTTAGTAACACAAAAATGGCA